TCACTTATTGTCACCAGACCAAATTTCATCCAGATCCAGATGGCCATTTAAAGTTGACACTGAAAACCCAATTTAACAAATATTTTCTGCCTTAACTTGGCCTATAATGAAGATAGAATCCTGAAATGTTCAGGTATAACTGCCTATCATACCATAAAGGAGGATCCAGATCTGATCAGGATCAAAATTTAGGAGACATTTTGTGTTGTTCTGGATCTCATTTTTCACAAGGAACCCATTTGCATGTGAAAATGTTGTGCCTTGGCAGATGTACAAGGGCTTTCTGAGTGCTCTTGTTTGTTTGTGTAAAGGGTCAACAGTAAAAAAAAAGTTGGAAATGACTGGTATAATTTTTAACAATGTATTTTATTTTATAAAAACTTTTTTTCTGTGAATCTGAAAAGTAAGTAGTAACCAGTAGTACAGATACTGCACTGTACAGTAGATGTAGGGCAGTACAAAATATTTATCTCTGAAATGAGGTGAAAACAGAAGTATGCAGCAGCATAAAATGGAAATACATGTATGTCAGCCCTGTCAGTTCTTGACTAAATGTACTTTGTTTCTTTCCACCACTGTGTTTAGCTGATAGTTTTATCAACAATAACAGCCTGCATGCCAAAATTAACTGGAAATGAAAGCTCATAAAGACCATTAAAGAATGCACAACAATTTAAAGCTCTTGTTTTTGCAAAATAAAAACTACACAATTATGTATTTGGAAAAAAAATGTTATGGCTGCATATGGTATGATTTTAGAGATTATTTTACCACCCACTGTTCTGTTTACTGTAGAAGATCTAAAACTCAGAGGACATGATGACATTCAAAACTGTGTCATTCTTTGTGTGGTTGTAGCAAAAAACAAAAACAGAACACCACTGTTCAGTGTATGAAAACTAAGTTTTCACCATCTAAACTTGGTGGGATTGCATATTGTGACATAAAATGTCATCAGCTAGCAGCCCCAGTCCCTATCAAGCAGTCTGCTGCACAGAGCACTCTCCTCTAGCCTTGGGCACTGGCCACACTAACCCACCTCCCCTACCACCCATCCCCTTCTAGTTGCCCTTCTTTCTCCTTCTCTTCCTTTTCCCTGTCTGTCTTTCTTTTACCAGGCTGCAGTGACCCACCCTTCCCTCCCACCCCTCCCCTCCCTGTCACCCCGAGGCACTCAGCTTCCATGGTGTCAGTTCGGAGGCCTCAGTGTTGACAAAGCAGCAGGCCTTCAGAAGACACATCAAACCTTGTCCCTCCTCTGTGCTGTTAGGGAGCTCAGTGCACAACAAAAGAACAGGGACTCCAGTTTAAGTCTGGGGCCATTACTAGTCTCAACAACATGGATACACACAGAAAAAGACCCTGAAGGATGCTGTACAAACCACAAGCTCAAACAGTTCAAGAAGAAATCTGTGTTTTCTGACTGTTGTGATGACAGTGTTGTGATGGATGACTGTAAATATAAAATACAAATCAAGGCTACAGGTTGGTGCCATCGTGACACATGCACTCTAATGAGGACTATGGGTGAGCCACAGTGCCAGGGACCCCCTAGGCACGTTGAGCGGGGAGAACAGTATGTGACACATACCAGATGCGATTGGAGACATCACACTGTTAACATAGCTACTGATAATCAAGTTGTAGCAGCAACTAAAGCAAAAAGATCCTTTTTGCTCTATTCACACATACAATGCATAATGCTGGATGTGTATAAGACTGGTTTGAGCCAAAAGCAGAAAAACACCTTGCAGAGGATTTCTAAAGAATTTTAGAGAGTATTGTGCTTTAGAAAAAACAGAGACAGTTGGGACATAGACCATCAACTAAAGCGGCATTATCACCTCTTCCTCCTGGACAAAACAGAGAAGATGCCTCGTTTATTTTTACATTCTCACCACTGCACCAACAAACAGAAAGCTGGCAAACACTGTTGATAATCTTCCTCCAAACATAATGAGAGAGGTGTCTCTTACCTGAAGGCCTTCTCCTCAGGTACAGAGCAGCTACTTAGAGCTTTTATATTCTGTGATTCGAGCCTCAAACCACATGATGGCAGCAGAAGAGATTCTTGAGCCAAATCTCAAAGACTGGTCCAGATTTTGATGTTTTATAAGACCAGAAAAGTAACATAATAATCAGAATGATACAGTCACCTTAAGCCTGAAGCTGATGTCTCCTCTAATCTGAAAAATTAATTAATTAATTAAAAAAAATCAACTTTAGTTCAAATTGAACCATCAGCACTTATACTGTCACTCAGTTCCTCTTTAATTAACCCATTACTTACTTTCAACTACTACATGCCAGTATGCAAACCATGGCCATTACCATGAGTAAAATAACCAAATGCACCAAAGGAAGAACTTGACAGCATCAGGGTCAATGCAAATTTACCTGTTAAAGTGAACCTGATTCAGAAGAGCAACTCTCCCAGAAAGCACACACTCTCTTTGTGTTCAGCTTCTCTCTCTCTCTCTCTCTCTCTCTCTCTCTCTCTCTCTCTCTCTGTCTCTCTGAAATAATGAACAATATGTGTCGCTGCTGTACCTCAAACACACACCAATATCAAGCAGAATGTCAAATGGCTGGAGGAACGAAGCGATTGACAGCAACCAGGCTCCACAGGGCATGCACATTACTAAAAGCAAGTTCTCAATGTTCTTTTCAAACTTTCTCCACATGCCAGGGGGGAAAGTAGGAGTGCTGATCTGATGTTGAAATGCTTGAACAAGATCTTCTTGCAAATGTTTGCATTCAGGGGGCTGGATGTGATTGTACTAGGTCTACTGTTTTCACCTCAGTGCATGAGTGCATTGTGTAGGTGACCTGGGCTTTGTGGGTCAACAAAATAGATGTTCATCAACCAGATGTGCCTGAGGCTTTCATGGAAATTACTTGAATGTGAGCATAAAAAACATGGTTTAGAAAAAATGATTATGAGAAAGACACTCAGCTTCTCAGAAATATTATCATAAAATAGTACTGTACTGTATGTCATACATATTTAGTTATACCTCAATAGAAGGTCTTGCAAGTGCTGGTAAATACTTTTAGAACATTTATACTCAGCCAAGATTTCAGCCTTTAGCTCTGGACATACCTACAGTATGAATCTACGGAGGGTGTGCGAGCATGTACAGTGATCATTCAGTATGCTGGTTCGCACACAGTGTTGCTGCTAACCAGCAGATGGTACTATGTTCCAGCATTATCATGTACAGTAGATCTACATACAGTATATTGATTCTTCAGTTTGAGACCTTGATCCAGTTACACTATCTGGCTATCTACACACACACACACACACACCTTCTTAAGTGTAATGAAATGTTACTCTGGGTGAATGTAGCAAAATAATATTGTAATGTTGACTATTACTGTGCTTTTACCAAGAGATTTCTACACAACCTGTCAAAATGTGGTGAGAAAATATTTGGATGATTTTAATGTGATTATAGCACTGGTTATCCTCAAACTCACTGAGCACTATATTTATTTGAAAAGCTTTAAAAATCATCTGGGGAGAAGAAGGGAATCACTGTGTCCTCCTCAGAGTCACTTTAGGCAACACCACCTGCTTTTGAACCTATGGCAAACATATTATTTTTATAAGGTCATGCTTTAATTCATACAGACATCATTAACATTTGAAGGACACTGGCATTTTGACTTGTTCCTTTCATGTGATTTAATATAGCTCACTGCAGCTTAAAACATTTAACTCAGAGTTAAGAAAAATGATATTGTTTTGACTTCCATAGTTTTGGAAAGGCAAACATTTGAAATTGTGTTTTGAAATTTAGTGGAACAAAAATGAAAACTAGAACAGAGCTGTTATCTCTGCATGGGCTAGCATTGGGGAGACCAAACATCAGTAATCTAATTACTTGGATCAAATCTTACAATTAGATCTACATTTTTGATCCATGAAAATGAAAATAAAATCATGGGAAGATTTTGGTGGCAGTTATAAACATAGAAACCTCGACTAGTCCTTTCACCTGCTAAAGTGCTGGTCAGGAGGGCAGACGTTTGGCTCAGTTGTGAAATCTCAAAACATGCAAATCCTCAAGATGACCTACTTCTTCCCTTCCACATAAACACTCGGCTAAAATCCATAAATTAAGGAAATTAACTGATGGGGCCCCGGGGCCACTTTGTAAGCTATTTAAATCTTTAAATTTACAACATCCCTACATACGTCATGTAATTGAACTAACTGCGGGCTTGTTTCGTTTAATGAGGAAAAATGCTATATCCCCTCCAGTTTGTACCTCTGGAAACAATAAATCTGTGCCGGGGGGGGGGAGACAGGAGCGCGCTGAGGTCTGTCTAATTACAAAGACTTGGCCCGCATCAAGAAAAGACGCATTCTCACACTCCCACCAGTCCTGCTGTCGGATATCACCACCACAACCGTTTTATTTACCATTTATTATAACCAACGTAATGCAAAAGGACAACTATACTGTGTGTAAGTCAAAAGAAATATTTTAGGAGTTTTATGGTCAGATAAAGTAAATGTATACTACGTTCCATAAGGTTAATGACACATCGGATTTTTCGTAGTGATGGTAAAGAGTAGCCAAGGTTCTTATAGAGTCACTGTATTCATGTATTTCATGTGAGCCAATAATAGGTTCCTACACTAGTTGGCGCCAAATATCAAAAAACAAATCTTTCACTTCTCCCAAGATCCTGGTACAGAGTAATTACTGGGCTCAATGTTGTATCAATTATTCACAGTTATTTACACGCAAATAAACAAACAAGTAAATAAATACCCCCTTCCCTTCCCACTCGGTGTAAAAGTGGTGCAACACTTTAGGGCTTCGTCACTTGTGTCCTTCTGTGTTGAAAAATAACAATAATCAGCGAGAATCTTATTTTCCAAAGGTCTGGAGGCTCCCTGCTTTCTCAGGAGAGAGAGGAGGGGGGGGGGTTCTGGGCAAGATATCTCCATCCAAGCCCTGCGCTATAATTGAAATGGCGCATTTGGCTGCAGGCAGGTTGTGAGGGCGCTTTCTGCAGCAGTAGCATGCATGCATGTCCATAGACGTCATTTGATTTTAATAGCCTGCAGGAAATTTGGCGTTACAACTCAAGATATTAAGGCAAGACAGAGTGGGAGAGAAAGAGAGTGAGCACACGGGGGGAAATCGGCGCATGAAAGATATTGGTTCAAGGCTATCTCTTCGTTTTCAACATATTTTTCTGCTAAGACTTTATCAACAAGTTACTGCGCCTTTATTATATGTTGTGTGAGTGAAGGACCATGGCAGCCCGCCTGGCTTTAAACTTTAAATTTAGGTTGAAGACGGAGATGGGAACGCATGCCTGCTAGAACTGCCCGGGGAACTATTACATCAGACGAAATGACAATGATTAAAATCTGTCTTTTGCTGCCGAGAATCTATTGAGCGGCTGACAGCTGTTTGTTAGGTTTTCTGTGCCCCCCCACCCCCACCCCCCCTGTAAATCACAACTTCGCGTCGTCACGGGGAACGGCGTTTTACCGGGAAAAGATAAGATAAGTTATTTTATCTGTGCAGTCATAATTTCGGGCACAGGGGGTATCACGTTCTTTTCCTTTAGAAAATTGCCAGGGCGAGAGAGTGGAGTTGAGCTAATTGTAGCCTAATCCCTGGCCCAGAGGCGCTTGGGCAGCCCGAAGCAAGATTTTTCTTTTTTAGCTCTGCTCTGTTATTTAGAGACGGATTATTGGCTTTCTTCGTCTCATAACAAACCACGGGGGCACTTTCATGTAGACAAAAAAAGCAGACAAGAAGCTTGAATACGAAGCAGGATTCCAAAAAGAGCGCACATTTTACGCGTATCCAAATAAGAGCAGAGAAGGGAAGGAGATCACCTCATCTATGTTCAAGGTAAGGACGCTTCCTGTGCGCTTTGGTACAAAGACGCTGGGTGAGGACAGGTCGAGACAACCTTGCAATAGAACCTTTAAAGCTACAGAGACCCTTTGCAAGAAGTCCATCCCGCTCGCAACCTAGTGGTTTTTGAAAAGCAGTTTTGTGTGGGATATAGAGCAAAGGCTTGGCTTTTCCGTGTGGCATTATAGGTTCGTGTTCGAGGTGGTGTAGTTGTGCTACCAAGTCGGGGGCATTCGGAAAAAATATTTCAAATCTGGGGGGTTACGCGAAGAGCAGCTGGGACTGGCCGCCGGCACGGATTTCGTCTGGACTCTCTACAATGTTTGAAACGGTATGGTGAAGATTTCATATTACAGAGTGTGATGTTTTTTTGCGCGCACCCCGGGCTTAGTTTTCTAAGAGTATAGTCTAGCTAGTGTGACTGCTGCTCGACCTAGTGGTTTTCCCTCTTTTTCTCCCAGACGGTTAACACATGTGTGTTTTGTCAAACGGGTTATGAATTACACGTGTCCAGATTAAGCTTTTAATTATACAGCAAGAGTAAGCCGCCATATTGGGACTTTGGTAGAATTAAAGACAGACAGGCTTGTGGTGTTCGTGTGGGGCGGGATGCTGTATCGTATTGTTTCCTATTGAAACGTTTCTGTTTGGTGGTTGTTTTTAATTGTGGGCTATCGGGGTTCAGGTCTAAAGTGTAAAATCATCTTCGGAACAGGGTCAGTGGAGGGAAGCAGCGAAACAGAAGGTCTGAGGAGAAAGTTGATGCCCGTACAGCTGATGTGACTTTGTGGAGGAATTTATCCCATATGGTGTGTGCTTGTATGTGTGCGCGCGCGTGCGCCGATGTTCATGTGCTTGTACAGTATAAGCACCTGTATGTGTGTGTGCGTGGGTGGGGGGGTAGCGTGAAGGATTCAGACAGACCATGCTGAAATGACTGGAATTGTCATTGATTAGGAAAGTGAGAAGATTTCTGGACCCCAAACTTCTTTAGTCTATCCAAGTTTTTTTTTCCTTTTCCTGGGATTTGAAAGGTAATCCAGTCCTGCTGTAATCCTATCAGAGGTGGGCACCACCCTAGAAAAAGGTCGAAGTCTCACATTGTGCCCAGAGACACTTCCCTCAGAGCCCAGGGTTGATCTGGACTTCGATAACGGCCTTCAGTTTGCCACTTATGGCATTACAACCGAGCATATGTGCACCAACGAACTGGTCAATTCTGCTGTTTTATTCAAGGGTGGAATTGTATTTTCTCAATCTGTTTATAGCCAGTTATGTAGTTTTGTTGTAAATTCTGTCAAGAACGGTCTGTATTTCGACCACGGGTTGAAGATGAGTAACGATAAAGTGGGGAAACTGACCTTTTACTCAGTAATCGTTAGGAAAGCATATAAGAACGGGTGTCATTTCAGAACAGCATAAATGTGTTTTCTTTCCTTGCAAAAATCTAATTCCACATATAATCTAAACCTCCCTGACATTATTTACTCCTCATATTATTTACATAAATTTTCTATCATACAAGAGTCACATTAAAATGGGGTAAAAGGTTTGCCTGCAGCTGTTGGCGAGTAATTTGGAAATGAACGCCGATTCTGCTCCACTACATCAACCAGCACGGAATCAAAGTCATTCGAACTGAAGTGAAAATATTTTCTCAGACATTTTGTCAGTGAATCAAACTCAACTCCGTTCTGACCTCGGATTGTTCCAGCGTACTCCCAAAAATGTCCCCCTGCAGTCACGCAACTTATTGTGCCTGAACTGTCTGAACTGTGAAGTATTTATTATTTTGTACAATACATTCCAAAGTAATCTTTCTGATATTGAGCCACAGCATATATCTATATTTAATAGTTTGTCATGTTAAATTGGCACCACTTTAATGCCTTTTCTGTTCTGGACTGATTTCTGCTGCATTTTTACACGTTCAGTTATAAGGTTACGTCTAATAGCGCAAATCACAAGTATCTGTAGCTACATGACAAGCAATTACCTTGATCATTTGTTGTACTGTGTGTGTGTGTGTGTGTGTGTGTGTGTGTGTGGTGTGTTTGTGTGTGTGTGTGTGTGTGTGTGTGTGTGTGTGTGTGTGTGTGTGTGTGTAAAAAAAAAACCTCCCCCCCCCCCCCCCCGCCATATTTTACTTGCACTCAGATTGGTGGTTGGTGCGTCTGGGCGCATCAAGTCTAACACATAAGGCGACCTTTAATTAGAATATTGCAGCAGCAGTTTGTTTTATTCCCCTGGAGGCTGACACCTAGCATTTCTTCCTTTCTATCCCTCTCTCTCTCTCCTTTTATCTGTCTGTCTCGCTATGTCTCCCTCACGCCGGTTCTCTAATATGCATCCTCCTATCCTCGCCTCCGGTGCTGCATGAAAAGATGCAAACATACTTAATTAGAGCGGTGGCAATAATTTCCAGGCTAAATATGCGACCAGACAGACATGGAAGTGATCTGATACCATTCAAAAAGGACATCACCTGCTTTCCTGTGTAGGATCAGTGTGTTGATTTTTTTTATTCTTTACCTTTATTCCCATGGCTTTTCTGTACACTTGCTTTCAGGAGGGAAGAAGCATGTCACGGCTCTCTCTGACCCGGTCCCCGGTCTCTCCTCTGGCCGCTCAGGGGATTCCTCTGCCGGCTCAGCTGACCAAGGCAAACGCCCCGGTGCACATCGATGTCGGAGGACACATGTACACCAGCAGTCTGGCGACCCTTACCAAGTACCCAGACTCAAGGTAAAACATATGCTGTGGCCTCATTGCTGGAGTTAGTTGATTAATTCACACCCTTTATCTTATCATTGCTCGGGAAGCAAATGTTGGTTTAAATCAGACCGAGGGGATTTAGTTTGAAATGTGTGATAATGGTAAATCTTTATATTAGAATTGGTTTATGTCTTAATATAACAACTTAATAATGCATTTCAGTGATGAAATCAAGTATTACATTATTTTGCTGGTATTTGTCTTAATTGAGTCTAATTACATTTTGCTATTAAGTAATTTAGCTGACTAGTTGCTGCAATGCAACTTTTATTGTGACAGTTATCCTCAAAAGCTACTAAATGAATATCTTTTTGAACAATGTCAGAACATCTCCATTCTTTTCATTACTTCTACCCTCTCCTAGCTTTAAAATCATGCGTTTGATTGGTTTGATTGGATGTTTGTTGGTTTTAATCATTATTATTTTAATTGTCTGTTAAATACCCCAAGGCTTTTATTTTATCTCCTTTCACACTGTAGTTGTGGTTCAAAATTCAGCTGCTGCCAAGCTGACAACTTCATTGCCTTGTATTGCTGATTTGCTGCATGCAGCACATCCCTTCATAATCTTTTTTCAGTCAATAGATCAGGATGCTGTTATAAATCCTTGGAGGAAAAACTGTGACGTAAATGTCCCTATCCCTGTCATCAGAGCTGATTTGGAGCAGCTACAAATCTGATTCAAATCTAGATTGTTGGTACATATTGATTTTCTTGGCTAACTTAGAAACAGCATTTACCACCATCATATTGTCTGTATAGTCATTATTTTTGTTCAAACACGTTTCTTATTTTAAGAGATAGAACATGCTGTTATTGTATATTCCTATTTTGTGACCCATCATAATCATCATTATAATTTCATCTTTATAATTTTTCAGTCACCCTAGAACATGACTTATGCCGCAGTCAAACTTTGAAATGCTTACAGCTAAATGACTGACTTTTTATTCGCTGTGTGTGGACAGGAAAGGAAATGGTTTGCGAGTTCGATTCTCTCATACATACAGGGCTTTTGTTTTTGATCTTCTTCCACTGTAATGTTTAGTCTTGATGACCAAGTTTGTGTGAGAGCTGCTGGTAATCCACCCTCCCACTTTATTCATGTTTTTAGCTCCATCCAGAAACACAATGACACTAGGGGTTCAGTAGCTCTGAAAAAAAGGACTCACCGGGTCTTTGGATTTACACAAATTATGCTAGTATATGCAACGCAATTCATTCATATTTCCTCTATTAACATAATTAAAACAAGTTAACCCCTAAAGAAAATTATATTGGTTTTACACATTATCATTGTGTGGGACCGATGTACACATTACAATCAAGTAAATCCAACAAATCTTTTTGTTCAGTGACATGTACAAATACTAATGACTAAAGATCTCCGTTATCTACTCAGTTCCACTGTACAATTTTTTCCTTTAAAAACTATGGGATGTTTTAGACCCTGTGCTTTTTCCTGTGATGCAGGATGTCATTCAGTTACATTATATATTATTATATTTGATTCTCCATCAGCTGAAGGAGTCCCATGTGGGCCAAGGTAAACATACACCAGGTTCCCAGAAAATCTGCCAAATGGGCTACAGGAAACAATCTGCATAATCCCCTGGTAATAAAGTCTTGATATTCACACCGTCCACTGACAGGAAATCCCTGACAACTCTCCTTTTATTCCTGACTCTAACATGTCATAAGAAAAATAACACTCATCCCTGACAAGTGTTTATAACTGTTAGTTATTGAAATGCTTTTGCCCAGTGTTTCAGTGTTATATTTGGTTTATCTGATAGACACAAGGCCAGATTAATTTTTTTCCCAGAGTGTTTTCATCAGATGTGCTGAACCATGTTTTATAAATCTCAGATTGTCTTTAAATTTCTATTTAATTTTCACTCGGTATTTCTGCATTGCTATTGTGTTGCCTTATTTTTATGCCCTGGTGTAGCTTTCCACTTTACAAAGAAGTTATTCATAGAGGAACACACACAGGGAACTGTGCAAATGGAGCACAGAGTCATGTCAGAGCACCCAAACAGTGTTTTTGCACTGAGAGTAAAGACCGGATGCCAGTGTGAGTGTTAGTTGGAGTGCTCTTTCTCCCTCTTTCTCTCTTTCTTTCACACATGCTCCTTTTGCTCCCTCTCTCTCTTCTGTTTTTTTTCTCACTTTGGATCACATACACAAACACACATGCATACACTCACTGTTTTCCTCTCTCCCAGCCTCCTCAGTGTACAGATGGCCTCAGGGCTCTGCTTTCCACTGGAGCCAGTAGAAGGAGGGGCCCTTTTGTGTGAATTAGGATAATGGCTGACAGCAGAAAGCAAAGCAATTACACTGGCATAGCCATATACTGTACGCTGTGTTTTCCCATGTCCAGTCAAGCACCTGGTAAAACTGAAAACACAGTGATTATAAGAACAGGGTTAAAGAGTTTAAAGCTGATTATTACTTTTAATAGATCGGCTCCTGAATAATACAGCATGCCAAGAGAAAGTTAGTCTAGTAACTAATGTGTGGTTATTCATCTTCTTCTCTGCGGGCCATATTAAGGGACAGGGTCATGAAACATTGATGCACACTCTGTGTAGCTCACAAAGAGGACAGTCTCAGCAGTCACTTGAACAGAAGCTGAGGAAATTAGGGGAAATGTTCCAGAGACAAGGAAACTATTTTGAAAGGACCACTAGAAATTATTCTCTTTGAAGACAAGTCCTCTGTGTCCAGAGATGATAGCCCTGGACTAGCCTTATTTGTGTCTAACAGTTTACATTTTGGTAAGCTGAAATCATCATAATTAGCATAGCAAATAATGTGTCATCTTTCCCCTCAAGTTTCAGAAAACATTGTACTTCCTCTTTGTCTCTTTGGCTTTATTAAAGCCTTTAGCTATTTGAAACATCTCCCTTAAATAAGCAAGTTACATACAGTAATGACTGCTTTTAAAAAACATTTTTAAAGAGGGACTAATACATGAGCTACAGTAAAATCAGCTGTTTAATAAGAGTTTGAGCATTTATTAAAACTGTCGAGGCGAATTCGAGGGTCTAAGGGCAGAGGGTGTCATATGCTGCACAGTTTGCAAAGCAACTTGAGGCAAATTTGTGATTTGTGTTATTGGGCTAAACAAATAAATACTTGACTTGGCGTAGCTTTGAAATAAGAGACTAAATGTTTTCATGCATACATTGTGAGTATGCACAGAGAAGTTTGATTAAAGCATTTTACAGAAAAGTTATGGCATATGTGCAGTTGAGTTTCTCAAAGAAAATTCACATGATGGACCCAAATAGACAAATACTGGGGAACAGAGCTCTACACAGTCAGATGTATTCCT